GCAGATAATGGATTTATTCATGAGAGCAAGGGGACCTGTTTTTTTGTTTTTTGGTTGTTTTTTTGTTGTGGTTGTTTTTCAAGACAGGGTTTCTCTATGTAATTTTTGGTCCCTGTCCTGGATCTCGCTCTGTAGACCAGGCTGACCTCGAACTCACAGAGATCCACCTGGCTCTGCCTCCCGAGTGCTGGGTTTAAAGGCGTGTGTCACCGCCGCCTGGCCAAAGGGACCTGTTAAAAGTATGACTGCTCAGTCGGGCGGTGGTGGCGCATGCCTTTAATCCCAGCACTCGGGAGGCAGAGGCAGGCGGATCTCTGTGAGTTCGAGGCCAGCCTGGTCTACAGCGTGAGTTCCAGGAAAGGCGCAAAGCTACACAGAGAAACCCTGTCTCGAAAAACCAAAAAAAAAAAAAAAAAAAAAAAAAAAGTATGACTGCTCAAGTACTCTGCCTGCAGCCAGCCATCTCTGAAGGTGGGTGGTGGCCTGGTGGACAGGCGGGGACAGCCCAGTAGTAGTTCACTTGAGGAAGGCCTGGCAGGAAAGCCACAGACTTCCCAACTGCTCAGTCCTGGATTGTTCTCTCTCCCTCCCGGATAACACCAAACCCCGCTCAGCAGAGGCTACTCTCACCCCTCGGGAGCCCACACGGAAGGCGAGAACAGGTTTAGACGTTGGAGCCAGACAGCCGGGGGTTTGAATCCTGGCTTTGCCACTGGTATGCCATGACCTTAAACCACATTTTTTTTTCTTTTATGAGCCTGCTTCCTCGTTAATAAAACAGAGATGGTGGGCTCTATGCCACGGAATAGTTATGGTAGCTGAAGACAACGGCTGCAGAAACCCAGAGAGGCCAGAGGTTGCCTGGAGTCACACACCACAAGGAAGTAAGCAAGATGCTGGGCGATGCCAGAGCTCTTTGTACACCGTCTGGCCTCTCTTGGGTCTGGACTCCTGTCTGAGGCCTGGTCTGTGTCCCCTGGTCTGTGGCAGAACGCAGCAGAGATGTTTGGGGCTGGGCTGGGCCCCACATGGTGTGGCTCCTCTGGCCTGAGCTACCTCTCCACAGGGCCTTATCTGTCCATTCTCTCCTTTCCCACAAACTAATCTTTCTCTCTCTTGGAAAGTTCCTGTTTCCTCCCCGCCGCCGCCGTCTTGTCTCTCCCCAGGCCTGTCTCCGGAGACTCTAGCCAGCCTCCCACACAGGTCTAAGCTGTTCAGCACAGGGGGCTCAGAGGTAGGATGGCCACTCTTGACTCAGGATGGTACAGATGGGAAACCTGCCATGCCCAAAGTTCTGATGCCAAGTCCTCTGAGCCATCCAGTGCGTGATGGAAGGTTTTACTCCAAATCTTGCAGGTACAGAGTTCTAAATCTCTGAACACAGTAAACTCCAGGGCTGCTGAAGTTCCCCAGGAGCCTGTGACTCACAATGACTGAAGCCCTGCCCCCTGCTGAGTAGATCCAGCAGGATTCTACCCAGAAGCCTGGAGTAAGCAGACCTCCAGGGTCCAGTGATCCCCCTCCTGCTTGGTTGCCCAGCTCCTAGCCAGCCAGAAGGTTCAGGGCTTCATCACAGGTCTAGAGACTAGTCAATGACAAGCACACAGGCCCACTGAGTCAGAGGCCAGCCTGCTCACCTGCTCTGAGTTACCAACTCTCCCTCCCATGTTGAGAGCTGGTCATGATATGGGGCAAGTCACCTGTCCTTTGGGAACCCCAGTTTCCACCTGTCAGATGGTGGTGACATCATCTGTGGGGAGGCTTCGGAAAAGATGACTTGGGCTAAGGTGGACTGGGACACAGAGGGGACAGAGTAAACAGTCCTGTTTATAAGAATATGGCTACTTTTCACCACGTGGCCTGCTTTCCCTTTTTTCTTGTCCTAAGTAAGGTTCAAAAGACAACCCCACATTCGACACTTCTGAGGCATGTTTTTTACTCAGCTCCATTGGGTTCATGAGCTAGTCTCAGCCCAGAAAGACTCAGAGAGCTTGGGATGGGGGCAGATTGGGACACAGTACAGGCTTGGACACACCCTAGCTCAGCAGGACACACCCTAACTCCCCAGAGGGAGCCCAGAGACTGTAGGAACCTGGGAGAGACCCACCCAGGCTGAAGGTTGTCAAGGAAGGCTCACTGGAGAAGGAGCTGTCTCCCTGGGCCTTGGAGGAGAGCTCTGATGGACTCGGGGAGGGGGATAAGATAGTGGTTTGAAAGGTTCAAGGGTGGTGAGGAGCCAGAGAAGGGAAGCATGTGGAGACACACAACGGGGGATTCTAAGAGTGACAATTCTGGGCCTCTGGGAGAATGATGCCCAAGCCAGGCATCTAAGCAGGCAGGCTTCATAGCCAGAGCTGAGGGGTGCTGAGCTACAGGGACTATGGCAGGAGGGTGGGCTGTGGCTGGAGGGTAGGCTATGGCAGGAGGGTAGGCTATGGCAGGAGGGTGGGCTGTGGCTGGAGGGTAGGCTATGGCTGGAGGGTAGGCTATGGCTGGAGGGTAGGCTATGGCTGGAGGGTAGGCTATGGCTGGAGGGTGGGCTCTGGCTGGGGGTGGGCTATGCCTGGAGGGTAGGCTATGGCAGGAGGATGGGCTATGGCAGGAGGGTGGGCTCTGGCTGGGTTGGGCTATGTCTGGAGGTGGGCTATGTCTGGGAGTGGGCTGTGGCTGGAGGTGGGCTGTGGCTGGGGGTGGGCTCAAGTGCTGGACCAAGCGATTGAAGGCTGGTTCTGTGGGCCCCATGGCCAAGGAGGGAACACACTTCAGAGTCAACCAAAGTAGCTAGGCAGTGGTGGCAGAGGCAGAGGCAGGTGGGTCTCTAAGTTCAAGGTCAGCCTGATCTACAGAGTGAGTTCCATGACAGCCAGGGCTACACAGAGAAACCCTGTCTCGAAAAACCAAAATTAATAAATAGTTAATAAATAAATAAATAAATAAATAAATAAATAAATAAATAAATAAACAAATAAACAAATAAATAAATAGAAAAGAGACAACCAAAGCAGAATACAGACCCTGGACACCCTGGAAGGGTACCACTCTAACCTCAGCCCCTTTAGCAGTGGCCATAAGATGGCCCTTCCCATCTGGTGCTTCTTCATCTGGAAAACAGTCTCAAAGGAGAGCAGACTTATCTGGAGGTTCTTTCCAGCTCCTGATTCGGTGACTGCCACCCCCACCCCCTCAACAAGCCTGCAGGCTGAGCTTGGATAGCTATAAAACCCTGCTCTCTCCCACCCTATGACCTGACTGGTTTCTGGCAAATCCTCCATTCTGTCCTCTGCGCCCCACCAGGAGTCCCTGTTCCTCTCCATAAAACCCTGCCCAGGCTCTGAGGCCTTGCTCAGCAGGGCTTCTGTGGGTAATGTCTCAGTTTCCAGCTGGCTTTGAGGGAGCCCATCCCTTAGCTGCTAAGTGTGGGAGCCACCGACAAAAACTGTTCGGAACATACTTCTGTAGCCTTGGTCTTGGGTGGCCCACCCCCCACAAGCAGCACAAGACGCAGGTGCTTAACAACTGATTCTGTCTTGAGGGGCTGGGAAGTGGGAGCTTCCATGGGCCAGGCCAGCTCTCCCGCGTCACCCATTTTCAAAAACTGACCTTGCTTTTTCTGCAGCTTGCTGTTGAGTTGGGTGAGTTCATGAGACCTAGGGAAGCTTGCTGGCTGGCTGCCACTCCAGATGCAAAGCTGTCACTGTGAAGAACACTGGTGATGGCACCTCTCAGGCTGCCCTTATGACCATCCCCGAGAAGTGACAATTGCCAGGAGGTCAAAGATCAAGTCCTTTGCGGGCGTTTATAACTACAATCACCTCATGCCCACAAGGTCCTCTGTGGACATCTCGGACAAAAGTGTTGTCAACAAGGATGTCTTTAGAGACCCAGCTCTGAAACCCAAGGCCAGGGGGAGGCCAAGGTCAACTTTGAAGAGCCACATAAGACAAGCAAGAACAAGTGGTCCTTCTAGAAGCTTCAGTTTTAGGTGCATTTTTGTTTCCATTGTTAATATTTTTTAAAAAAGAAAGGAAGTTAAGCTCAGCGGGGGACGGCCATGCCCAACCCCCCAGCTCTTCCCTCCTCCTTAGCTCTCCCTCCCTCACCCCTTCACCCTTTCAATCTCCACCTCCAGTCTGTAGACAGACATCACAGGCCCAGGTCCTCTTGGCTTTGCCAGCCCACCCACTTGACTACAATGACAAAGGTGACTGTAGCCAGGCCTCCATCAGAACCCCAGACCCTGATGTCTGCTCATTTCCACATGGAGTCCAACCTGCACCTCCGTCTACATCCGGGTCCAAATCTAATCCCCACCCTCTCCCCGACCCCGTCTTGCAGCTGGCTCTCCATCCTTCCCAAATGGTTCTGCCTGGCCCTCCTGGACCCACACCCAAAACGAGAAGAGAAGAGGCCCTGCTGGTCCCTGCATGTTAGCACATCCTCTGCCACAAGCCTGGCCCAGGCTTGAGCTGTGAATCTGGGTCTTTCCCAGCTTCCAACCTTAGGCGTCATCAGCCCAGCTCCACAGATAGCATAACAGTATGGGCCAGTCCCACCATCTGGGGTCCCACCGAAAACCCACCACGGCCACCTCCCTAAGGTCTCAGCTTCCTGGGGTAGCTTTTCCTTGCAGCCAGCTTAATGGGTCTGAAAGCATGCCAACGACTGTGCTGTGGTAGTAAGAATGTCCCTGAGGAATAAACATACTGCCAAGTGGGTTTATGTTTCAAGACGTCTGTCCTCACCCTTGACCAACAGATCACATACAGGGAAACGGTCCAGGACCAGGATGGGGGACCGGGTGGGGTTGGGACATCAATGGGAGGCCGCCTTGTCTAGAAACTGGAGAGTCTTCCTGCCAGACCAGGATCTGCTGGGTTCACTTGAGGAGGCTAGAGATTTGGGGGCAGGCTGGGGCTTGCTCAGCATTTATTTCACACAGTTGTTTAAAATATAATCATTATATATATATTTTATATATAATATATAAAGAGGAATTGAAGTGAGCCACCCCAAAGAAAAAGCTATATTTTATAAATATTTCTGTAGCTCCCACATCCCAAAGGAGGGGGGGAAGGAAAATAAAAATTTACAACCCAAGTTAGTGGTTCCATGTGGTGGGCACAGGGTCCCAAAGAACATTCTGGAAGGCTGGTCTTTCTGGCCTTGAAAGGTCAAAGACACCCAGTCTTACCCATCCCTGCCCTGGCTTCTTGGAGCAGCCTGGAAGGCAACATGTGGGCCCTCGGGCCCCAGGCTGCCAGGTTATTTTTAATCCTATCGGTTTCCTTTGATGCCCCGGCCCTCCCAGGGCGACCAGGCCTCTGTTCCTGGTGGCTTCCAAGTGGAGTCACAGCACAAGCCGCCTCCCACGCCTGGCATCCGAGATCTGCAGGGAAGTCCACCAGGGTCTCCAGGCCCTTCAGCGGGTCCTCTGGGGAGCAGCGCCCCTCCACAGGGGCGGCGCACACGGCCTCACTTGCAGACGTAGCGCTCCACTGTGCGCTCACACCTGCGGCAGGTGACGTAGCAGCACCAATGGTACTTGCAATGGCACCTCTCCACCACTCGGTCCGTGTAGGGGTTGTAGCCACGCCCACAGCACATGAGGTCGCAGCTGTCACTGCCGTTAGAAGTCTTGTTGCACTGCCTGGGGGTGGGGACAAGGGGTCAGTGAGTGCCCATCACCGCCAGCACCTGCCTCTCCCTGCCAAGCAGCCTGCAGCCTCACCACTGTGGCTGGCCCCGCCCTCCAAGAAGCGTGATGGATCTTAGGGGAAACTGAAGCTTTCCTCTCCTCTAACTTCTCAGTGTTTACAATAAGCTGTGATGGAATTGCTGGGGCTATTTTATTTCCTGAGTTGTTTGGTTTCCTTTTTCCTCCCCTTTCTAAATCCCAGGAGAATCCTCAAATCAGTGTCTATTAATCCTGACTTCATATTTAATTTTTTTAAAAAATGTGTGTATGTAGTATATGCATGGTAATGGTCCATGTACACAAATTTGTGCATGCATTTATTTGGAGGCAGAGGTCCACATTGAATGTCTTACTCTCTTTCACTCTATCTATCTATCTATCTATCTATCTATCTATCTATCTATCTATCTCTATCATTTATCTATATCTATCATCTATCTTTATATCTATCATCTATATTTATCATCTATCTATCTCTCTATCTATCTATCTATCTATCTATCTATCTATTGAGAAGGAGTCTCTCACTGAACCCAAAGCTCAGGGATCCACTTGGCAAGACTGGCCAGTGAGTTCCAGGATACCTTCCTGTCCCTGCCTCCACCTCACTGTTAGGGTTATAGATTCATGCCATCACATGGGTGGCAGGGATCTGAACTCAGATCCTCATTTGGGGGAGCGGGAGTTCCAGACAGGGTTTCTCTAGGTAACAGCCCTGGCTGTCTGTACTGGAACTCGCTCTGTAGACCAGGCTGACCTCGAACTCACAGAGATCCTCCTGGCTCTGTCTCCCGAGTGCTGGGATTAAAGGCGTGTGCCACCATGCCCAGCTGATCCTCAAGCTTACAACAAAGCAGGTACTTCCCCAACTGAGCTACCTCCCCAGGCCCTGCCTTCATAATTAATCTTTAATTATTCTGCAATGGAGGTGAGTGTCATTTTTACAATTCAAAAGCCCAGGATACATTCTGGAATACTGAAAACAGCCCAGGAGGCAAGGTGGGTTTGGGCACTTTGTCTACTGAGTGCAGACCTGCAGCTGTCCAAGGGAGCCACAGTGACGCCTCTCCCCAGAGGCATTCCTGCACCCTTCTGTTTGTGAAGCAGATGTAATGCGTGGCAGCAGTTGCTCACTGGAATCGGTGACGACAAGCAAAAGTTCTCTTTCTCAACAACGGCACCAAGGCCACTGCTCACCCTCCCCCCCTAAGCTATGGCAGGAGGTGAGAAGCAGGGAGGTCTCAGTGAAAGGCAATGCTCCTCTGCCACCATTTCTCTACCTAGTAAAGAGGCAGCTACTCATGTGGACTGTCCTCTGGGCCAGGCCTAAAGAGGGACTGTGCCTGTGGGATACAGTTGAGGACCGAGCAGTAGGGGGCTGAGGAACAGGCAGGGTACTGACCCACAGCCTGTGGACAGAGTCGTACACTGATGCAAGACGATCCTCTGCTCATTCCATGGTCTTCTAGGGCCTCGTGCCCAGCCCCTCTGTGTTCCAGAATCATCTCCCCTTCTCAGCTGCTCCTACTCACCCTGCTGCTTCAAAGCACTCGTGTTCCTTCCTGTCTCCTTTCCTGACCCACTCCGTCTCCACTCTGCCGACCCCCTCAATCTGGCCTCCAGATGGGAGCCTGGGCCTCTTCCTCACAGAGCCCTGGCCTGTGGGGACGGAGCCCCAAACCAGCCCTCCCCTCTCACAGGCAGGACCGTGGACTGCGGAGGAAGCAGATGCTGGCCGGGCACCAACTATGTGCCAGACACGTTCCCAGACACCCGCTCTCTGCTCCGTATTTCCCTAACCTTGTGAGCACCAGCTTTGTGGAATGCTGAGGGGCTCCTTAATAAAAGAGTTCCCTGGTTGTGTACCTCTGGGAAACTCCGTTTAATCAAATCCTTAGCTGAGGCTCCCTCAGGCCTTGGGGATGACCAGAGACCTTCCCAGGTGCGTCTGGTCATAGAACTTTCTTCCCTGGGTTTTCATGAAGCATCTTTGCGAAGGCAGCTGCCTAGTTCCTTAACAGCCCCACCTGGCACACAGTAGGCCTGCAGGCAATCATTATCATGGGCTCTTTGTCTTCCCTATCTCCCTATCCAGAGCCAGGGCTGAGTCAGCTGTGGAGACCCCAGGCCCAAACCAAGTAGTCCCCAGGGGACATGGGAGGACTAGAGCCTGGGAGGCGGCGCTTATCAGGAGACAAAGGAGTGTCTTCTCTACAAAGCTCATTCGCTCTGCTTTGGGTACTTCCTCGGCTGCCTTAGGTTGGATGCCGCCTCCGCTTCTCCTTGTGCCTCTCAGTTCCTCCTTTGTCCAACGAGCAGGGTGGGCATTTATCCTTCACCTGGTCACATGACATTTACTGAGCTTCCGTTTCATGTGGGGCAGCCCTTCCTCACCCCTGTCCTACAGTACTACCACTGTTATTTCCCATCTGGGGAGAAGGTGGGGCCGTGAGTTTCTATCCCCAGAGTCCCCTTAAGCTCCCTGGAACCTCCTCCCCACACTGGGCAAGGACTCCACTCTCCAAATGCCAGCTGAGTCACCACCGTGCCTGGCCCAGCCCTGAGTGCAGCATTTGTGTGGGTGGCATGGCACTCACCTGTCTTGGGTCCCATGGGATCCCACCTTCTCGTTCTTCATACAGAAGTCAGGGGAGCTCTGTAGATACACTAGTTCTGAGTCCTTCACAGGCCGGATATCCAGGTCCTTGGGTACCAAGTGCTTGCGGGTACCCATAGGTCGGTGCACCACTTTCGTGGCTGACAGGTAGCGGGTCTTGAGGTCAGCAGCCACATCCCGGAGCTCTTGCAGCCCCTTCCAACAGGTGCGGATGGAGCAGGAGCCAGACACCCCATGGCACTTACACTTTGTTTCCAGGGAGGCACGGAGAGCCTGTGGACAGGCAGGGTGTCGGCAAGATGGCCAGAACCCCTCCCTGGCCTGTCAGGGCCCTGGCCCCCCACTCCATGCCTGGGTGTTCTTGGGGACTCATGTCCCACTGGATCCTCAAGGGAAGGAGCATTTGGCTCTAAAGCTAGGAGGGGCTGGGCATCATGCTTCCACTCGGGCAGCTAAGAGGGGCAGGCAGGAAGAGTGGCATTTGCAGGTGCCACTTCTCAGAGACACACTCTGTACAAGCACACTCTGTGCTCTAACACAACTGCCACAGCCCGTCCGGGAGACCCACTCTTTCCCCCTGTCCCAAACAGGAAGGCTTCAAGATGCGAAGTCTGACACCCAAGTTTGCAGTTAGAAAATTGTAGGGCTGGGATTTGAACCTGTGTCGGACAGTGATTCCAAACGCTGTGACTTTCAATTGCTCCATGCCTTCTCTCTCTCCCAAAAAACCAGGACTCACTAGAGGCTTGCCAGAAGAGCAGCAAGAAAAAGAAGAGCAAGAAGGAAGGCAGCTGGGGAGGGATGGGAGAGACAGGAAGGAGACAGGACGGCGGCTTGGGGGGCACCTCCTTCTGGACCCACCCACGGCTGCCAGGTGACACTCCGTCACCACCTCAAGGCCTCTGCTCTGAAGTACGAAGCTGGCACGCTGCTGCTCCCTGGTAGAGTGTTGTAAGGGTTAAATGAACTGTACCAAAGGGGTGTGTGAGTTATAACTGTTTAAATCAATATTGGCTCTGAATATGCAGTTTAAATCAGAGCCGTAGAGGAAACTGGAAACCCTTGGGCCAGGGCCTCAGGCAGGATCCAGACCTGGTCTGAGAAATGACTCTTCCCCACAGTCTTCCCTGGGCCTCAGTTTTCTGCTGGTGTCTGAGGGTCAGAGGTCAGACACCTTCTAAGGACCTTCCTATTCAGCTCTTCAAACCCCTCTTCTGCTCACATGACACTTCCCTCTCCCTTGTCTGGCAAGGGTCATGAGTCACCTGGACTCACACTCTGCATCAGCTGGTTGGGGAAACTGAGGCTAGGATTGGCTTGGCCTGGCCCCAATCCCGCAGTCAGTAAGTTGGCAGGAGCTAGGCAAAGTGTCTGGGATCGTCTTTATCATTGCGACAGGAAAAGTGGACCGAGGAAGCATACTAGACATAAAGTCTAGGACTTGCTGGAAACCTAGGAGGGGGAGGAAGGAGACACACAGGGCCACAGGCACCAGGGACAGAGCCCTGAAGCTCGGTTCCTTGAGTCAGGTCGGGGAAGGGGTGGACACTCATGAGCATGCACTAAACTGCCTAACGTGGTGTCATTTAATCCTTGCACAGCCCAGACTACCGGGGAACAGCATTCACTTTGGTTTTTCACCTTTTGCAGGTGACTCCAAGAACAGACTGAGATGAAAACCAAGGCTCCTCTTGCATGCACTGGAGTTCAGGGGAGTGCACCCCAGCTGGAGGCTGAGGTTGCCACAGAGCATCAGTGGGACTTGGTAAAAGCTCTCTGGAATCCTACAATGGGCAAGCCCCAGGGCTGGGAGGCAGGAGCCCCTGGCTAGACTCTGACCCAGAGTAGGGTTTGGCCTCAGTTTCCCCAGACTGTCCAAGGATGGCCTGGACATTCAAGAGTCCTGACATGAGAGACACCGGTGACGGGTGGAGCTGTGTGTGGGTTCCACAGGCTCAGCTTCCTCAGGCTATGTGGTGTTCCTGGCTGAGCCACCCAGAGCTAAATCGTGGGAGAGATTCCTTCTGTCGCACCTGACACTCTTCCTGGGGCCTTGTCCCTATCAGTGGGAAAGGGACAACAGAACCTTCTGGGAGTTGTTCTGGGGTCCCAGGAGGGAAAGAATAAAGCATGGAGCACCTGTTCACACCAGGATTGGTGCGAGCACATGTTCACACCAGCATTGGTGCAAGACCGTTCAGAAGTAAAGGGGATTGCTATGGAGCCTGAGTTGGATCCCTAGAACCCAGTAGGAGGGAACCAACTCCCCCAAGTCTTACTCTCACCTAATACACACACACACACACACACACACACACACACACACACACACACACGCAAAAGTTCAATTCAGTTCACTCACTGCCACACTCACCCAGCCTTTTGGGTAGTGAGAAACAGGGAGACACTGGTAGCTGATGCTAGGGAGCCATGCTCTCTAGCAGCGTGGATCCCCCTCCCCATGACAAAGAGGTGGCGTGGTGTAAAGCCTGGGGCCCAGCCCCCTCCCTGTCCTGAAGGAAGGCTGGGGAACTTGCAGGAGTTCCCACCCTATCACCACTTTATAGATGGGAAGGAACGGGGCCAGGGAGGAGGTAGGTCGCCACTCAGAAAGTTCGGGGCCGGAGAAGGGCAGAACTCAGAGCCCTGGGCTCTTAGCTCATTGCTCCCTCTGCTTGGAGCACCTGAATCTTGGAGACTCCCTAGAGGAGAAGGGGCAGGTGATCCCAAGCTCTAGAGAGGAAAGAGCAGCAGGGTGCCAGCCCATCCCCTCTCCCACCCCCTCATGGGGCCCACCATGGGCCCTTCTCCAGCCAGCGGCCCAGGCACACCCTCTGGGGCAGGTAGGGGGGTGGTTACCTGTCTCCCCACTTCACTGTTGTGTAGACGCATCAGTTTATTGGCTTGGGATCCTGTTTTTTTCACCTTCATAGGAGCATCGGAAAACTTGGCTCCCATGAGGAGCCCGTAGCTGAGGTTGTCCGCACATCCTCCCCAGCGGTTCCCGGGCCCGGGTGGCTCACCTGGGACAGGGCCGCAGGAGCAGCCGGGCAGGTCGCCAGAGGTGCAGGCCCGGGCGATGGTGTGGCTGATGGTGGCGGCCGACAGGGCATACACGAAGGCTGACTCCCGGGTACCTATGGGAGAGGTGAGGGTCAGTGGGCTGGAGGTCAGGAGGAGGTCAGCCCCAGGCCCGAGGCCAAGGCCGTTTTCCTCCATCCATCTCAGCACAGAGGGACCCAGCTGTCACCAGGGCAGTGCAGGAGAAAGACTGCAAGGCTTGCAGCCTGTCACTCCCAGCCCACAGTGTACCCTTATGCCCTTCACCAAGAGTCAGGGGGTGCTTTACATAAGCAAAGACCTCAGCCCCCTGAGTCCTTGTCGGAACTCAGGAGTAAGCCAGTTTAGAAACCTGGTCTTTGCACATAGAATCTCACTACTAAGCTGAGGCCATACTGGTCATGTGTTCTTAGAGCAGGAGGGAATTGGGGATACACAGACACAGACGGAGGAGAGCACCATCTGACACGGGCTGTAGGTCGGGGTACTGCAGAATACCCACAGCCACCAGGAGCTTCTGCGGACCCAGGGGGATGGCATGGCCCCACTGACAACTCACGCCCAGACTTGCAGCTTCTGGAACAATGAGACAACATGCAGCCCCGGCTGCCTGGGACCTATCTTACTGCCACCACCTCTCTCGTACTGGGATTACAGACTGAAAACTACTCACGACTGGTAGACAGTGCATTTCCATGTTTGGAGCCAGCCAGTATGCAGGACAAGGATACTGTGATGGAGCCCCAGGAAATGGGCACAGAGCCAGTGAGCTCCCACTCCGTTCCAGGCCGTCCTGGCCCCACATCTGAACCCTGACCCTGCCTCTTAACTAGCAGTCACCACTTCTATAGAGCTCAGTTTCCTTAACTGCAGAGCGCGCCTGGGAAGGCCTGCCTGGCGTTCAGACATCTCAGCAAGGAGCGGGAGGTGCCATCGCTGAAACCCAGCGATGCTTGACAGAGCGCACATGTGGGGGACATTAGCCTGTGCACACTCAGGTTCCCACACCACCTCCAGGAAGCCTGCTTCAAAGCAATCTGCTGCCCCGACTACTCTGGGCCCCGAAGCAGTTCCTGCCGACCAGGTTTGCCTAGGTCCACAGGCCTGCTCAGGGGTGGGCTACACACCAGTCTCGTTACATTGATGTGGCTTTCAGCACAGCAAGGAGCCACCTTGGTGCCCTCTGTGGCCATATCCTTCCTTCATCCGTGCATTATAGCACATGTGTGTCCTGAAGTGCTATTCGGGCCAATGTACGGGCTGATATATTCACTCACTAATATTTATTCATTCCCCAGTTCGTGCCTGAAACCCATATCTATGAATGACTCATCCGCTCAAGCGTCCATCCAGCCATGGCTTATCCATCTGTATAACCATCCATCTATTCACTCATCCGTCCACCCATGAATCCACGCACCTATCCAAACACACAGAGCTTCCGCCTGGATCCTCCCACCACGGCAGTGCAGCGCCCCACAGCCCCTACCTCTTTCCAGGTCAAGCAGGTAGTTGGGGGCGAGCTCGATGGAGGAGCAGTTCCAGCGCATGTCGGCGAAGGCCCTGCGGCAGGCCTTCATGGCCTCCCGTGCTGCGTACACGACGGTACGCATGAGCTCCAGGTTGCTGCGGCAGAGCTGCACCTGCGCAGACACCAGGCCCTCCAGCTGTTTGCAGTGTTGCGTCTGGTTGAGTGCCAGGGCTGCTGGCGTCTTGGACAGTGCCCTGCATACCCCGAAAACCACCAAACGGAAGAAAGACAGGGTGTAAGGGGGCATTTGATCTGCAGGCCAGCCCTCCCCTCGACAGACTCCAAGTCACTGTTGCAAGGAGCCAGGAAATCGCAAGGCAAAGAAGAACCACGTGGCAGAGCCATGGCTCGTCTGCCCTAGCCCACACACCTGCGACCTGGGGTGTGACACTGTCTCTCTCTGGGTCTTCTGCCCTAATTCTAACACAAAATCGCATCCTTTATCCTGCCTGAACTGTGTAATTGTCTTAGGAATGAACGCATTTACAGTCTGCAAAGCACTGCCAGCCACTGCCTCAGTCCTCCTGGCCGTGAATTACCACCGTTCCTCCCCTTCATTCAGCACTGGTAGCTAGGTGCCAGAACCAGGGCTAACTGCTTGAATCTCATAATGACTGCACATGCTATTAATTAAGCCATTACGCTATTGCACACCATGAGTTAGGAGCTTTACACCATTACTGCATTTAATTCTACAACCATTTTTATCACCATTGTAAAGTCCACACCTATGCAAAGGATTGCTATTCAGCAGTTCAAGGACACTGAACTTCATGGCGATCCAGACTCTAGAAAATTCAATATCTAATCCAGATATTCAATGATCACTGGTTCCCTCTGGTTTTTAGGGTTTTAAAGTTGTCCACGGCACATCCCTGGATGGGATCTGGTGACACTGGGACTTTCCTACCACCATGCCTTTGCCCAAGACTGCTCTGATGCCAGGAATGCCTTTTCCTTCTTGTACCCAAGTGAATAAAAGAACTTCTACTCATTGAAGAAATACTGAATAGGCACCAAGACTTCCCAGCCTCTTTTGGCTATGAACATGGCATAGACCCTTTCCTCCAGCACCTAGCCTAAGGGCTAGACAAGCCCATCAGCAATGAGGTACAAAGGCCCCAGACGGTCCAGCTCCTAGGTTGACCTAGGCAAAGGCATGAGCTTGAGACACTGCTGTGTGACTTGGACAAATTACCTAACCTCTCTGGGCCTCATGGCCCTCAGCTGCTGCAATGACCATTTCTACTTCAAAAGACAATGGGGGAGGGTCTTAAGTAAGATCATGTATTCACGTCAGGCACGATGACACATGCCTGTGACCCTAGACTTAGGAGCCTCAGCTCATTGCCAAGGGAATCTTCGATGGAAAGGAGTGAAGAGAACCAGTTCCCTTCCCGAGCTGTGCCGACTAGAGTGTACTGCTCTTCCTCTTTGAACGACTGCAAAATCCTGGCAAAGGCCAAAGGAGGTAATTCTTGATAAGTTGGCTTCTTCCTGCCTCTGTCTGCCACACTCCACCCACCATATAACCCCACCCTTACCCCCGCCCCATACAGAAACAGAATACAGACCCTGGAAGTAGACCCCTGAGGGCAGAGGGCCTGGCCTGACATTTGTGGTTAGGATGCCTTACCTAGCCTAAGAGCAAAGGTGAGTGTCCTTTCCTGCGGCCCTGGCCCACGCCAGCCCAATAGAGAGGGCACATGCAGGGTACGTCTCTCCGATGGCTTCCTGGCCATTTGGCTTGGTGGCATCACCCGTGAAGCCTGCCTGTGTGGGCTCAGACTCTAGAGGCAAATGGTCCCTGTGTGGATCCTCTTCTCCTCAGCACAGCACAGCAGCCCTCCCACAGCCCAGGAGGCCAGCCAACACGGCCAGCAGAGCTTGCCTGCCTCCTTGCAAGCTGTCAGTGCCTAGGTGGGTAGGACCACCACTCCATTCTTCCTGCTCACTTCCTGTGTCTTACGTTCACTATGGTTAAAGTGGTTAAAGGTTTCCATGGGCCAGAGGCACACAGCCCATGCAAGCAGCACGGCGGTCTTCTTGGCTTTACCCTAGGCATCTGCTCACCTAAAAGTAGGGTGCTAGCCAAGAAGTGGGGTGCTGATGGAGCCCTTCCTGCTGAGCAGTACAGGCAGCTCCTGAGGGCTGTAGCTACTCTCGGGCACAGTGCCCAGTGTTCCCCAGTACCTGGGGCTCACTGGTGGAGGAATCTGGGGGACTCTGCTTCCCTGGCCCCCCTTCCCTCTGAAGTCCCCAGGCATTTGCCTATCCTGCCCCAGGCTAACAGAATCTTATCTAGGAGGGTACCTCCCAGAGGGCTACCTCAGCAGGATACTTGAAGCTCTTCCCAGGCTCCTGGAAGTGGGGGTAGGAAGAGTGCAGCCAGACCACTGTCCAGGACAGAGGGACATGGGCATCCATGGGACCTCCAGGAGCAGCTGGCACAGCAATACACCTCCTGCCTCACCCCCATGCACTGCAAGGGCTTCCCAGGCATCCTCTGATTAGCAGTAATGACCCGGGTAAGTGAGCCCCCTTGGGGAGGCAATCAGGACTAAGACAGAGGCGGGGGAGCCACCCTGGACAGCTCACAAGCGGGTCTGGTCCAGAATACCCCTAATTGGAAACATTTCAGTTTATCTGGAGTGGGGATGTGGGGGAGAGGACGCAGGAGAGGACAGGAGGGAACAGAGTTCACTGGGGAGTCTATGCCATGGGTTGGGAGGGACTTCTCTCATGCAGGAGTTGGGGGTTCTCCTGGTTCAAGCTACTGGGCTACTCATTAACCATGTGATCTGGGCAAGTCACTGCCAGTGACCAGCCTCAGTTTCCCAGTTTATAGTATTCAGTGTTCACAATTCTGTGGGTGAGGGCATTTCCCAGTGTACAGCTGAGGAGTTCCTTCTGCTCCTCACCTAGCCACAGTCTTCCATCCCCTAGCCACTGAACCTATCTCCACACCTGTTGGTCCTCCCACCCTAAGGCCCTGAGGGGCTCATTGCCTCCTCCCACCAAGGGGCTTCTTTCCTGGCTAGTCAGTCACTGAGGGGTCTTCCTGGGGTTGCCAATAGCCCTGTGTCCAGGCAGTTCTGTGGTACCTGAGTCAGGTAAGGCCACCTCACAGAAAAGGCCTTCCTTATGGCCCTACCCTTTACAGCCTCGAGTGCCTTGCTTGGGCCAAGGCCTCTTGCTATCATTCTTCAGTCTGGCTCTCACAGTGCTAAGTGAAACCAAACCATTTGTTCAGGGTTACTTGGACAGAACTAAACTTCAAAGGCCTCAGAAGCATACCCAGAGGTGGCCTGGCAGTGGGTTGAGCCTGGCATCAAAAATTTCACTCGGAAAATTAGGAGACCCTGGTCATGGTACTGCCTAGACTTCAGAGGCCCCTGCCTGGTGCCATATCCACAGCATCATCCTTAAGGAGAGCTCTAATTGGTTGCCTTGCTCAGATACTTGCCAGCCAGAGTGGAAAGGCGTTTGCATGAACTGCCAGCCCCGTTGGAAGGCGAGCAGGACTTGCCCACTTCTGTGTGCAGCTAATCAGAGACAGATCCCAGGTAGAAGCTAGACCTCCCAGACCCCCAGGCCAGGACTCCTTCTAGCCCAGGTCCAAGCTGAAAAGCTGAGGTACAGACAGGCTGAAGGCTTGCCCAAGGTCTGCCTGGCACAAGGTGACCACTCAAGCTGAGCCCAGATTCCGAGGCTGGCACTCTTTCTGCCCCACTTCACAGCAGCTGCCTTCCTTCCAGAGCCTCTTTAGACTCTTCCTAGAGAGGACCCGCCCTTGCTGAGTGGCAGGCTCTGTGCAGCCCGCTGCTCTGGGAGCACAACCTCCAAGGCCCCCAAGCTGGCCTGGGGCCTCTCCTCTCCCCTTCTCCACCAGAGGGGGCAAAAGGCTCACACCTGCTCCCCGCCCCCACTTGACCCATCATGATTTCCCCCACCTCTGGCTTTGGAGGCAATGCTCTCAAGGCTCTCAGTGCATCTCTAGGCAAGTTAGTTCTGACCCTGCTCCCCAGTCCCCCATCCCACCTGTTTAGGTTGTCTGTCCCAGAAGCCCACCAGGTGGGCACCTCAGGTCACTAAGCCACATCTGGTTTCAGTTCTCGTGTCAAATGTCCCTTTCATCTCCAGGTCACTTTTCCAAGCCCAAGCACATGGTCCCCAGGACTGCCCAGGACAGCTGGCCCTGATGAGTCCTCACCCCCACTGCACACTGCCCGGGGACTTCCTTCTACCGATAGCCCGACTCAAAGCCCCGCTCTACTCCTCATTGGCTAGGAAACTGTTTAAGAATCTCCAAGGTCTTCCTTTCCTCCTCTGCTCAGAGAAACAGTACACAGCACAGGTCGGGAGAGTGAAACCAACCATGTGTATGTTGAAAACAGCAAGGCTGCATCTGTGTGCACAAGTGTCTACACCCACCCCCGCTATTTCCCCGTGGGCAGGCAGGGCATTGAATCCAGGGCCTCACAGGCGGTCTCCCCAACCCTTATCGCATTACTTTATTAAATTGTCAGACAAAGTCTCACTCCATTGCTCAGGATGGCTTTGAACTCATCTGTAGCCCAGGTGAACTTGTGATCCCCCTGCCTCAGCCTCTTCAGTAGCGGAGATTACTGGCCTATGTCACCCAGCCTGGCTCTACTATTCTTCAGCTCCACCTCTCCCCCCAAGTCCTTCTCTGTCTTCCAACCCCAGCAATAGTTGAACCATTATCAAGGTTTAGCCTCTTGAGCGCTCTGCTTGGTTCTGATCTCACAGTCACAGAGGACCAGCATGTGACAGGTCTTGTGGCAGTTACTTAGTCTCTCTGTACCTTAACTTCCTTATTGTGAACCAACAGTGATAAGACTGTCACCTCTCACAAGGAGTGTTAACTAATCACACAGAGGCCTCCAGCTCTCAGAGCTAGAACAGGACACCCGCCTGCAAGGCACCCTGGCTCCTGCTCCCTGCAAGAAGGGTCAGGGCATGCTCCTGCCTCCATACTTCTGTTCAAGCTCTTCCTCCTGGGACACCTGCTTCCCATTCCACCGCTGCCCATCAAGTCCTCCCTGGGGGGGGATGTCTTGAAGGCAGACACTGAGTTGTGCCCATTTGTGCCATGGCTTAGACTGCGGGGTGGAGCTAAGCTGGGTGTTGCTCTCAGTCAGCCACCTACCCCACCCAGCACGTGCCAGCTTGGGGCTGAGTGAGTCACACGCATCCCAGAATCTCAGTATTCCCTTATTGGACAGGTAAAGAGGGACAAGAGCAGTGTCCTCAGGACCCTTTATGAGCAAAATGAGTCACCCGAGTCTGGTTCTCAGCCACGAAGGCCCTCACACCTCTCAGCAACTTCCTACTTTCCCTCACCTCCTGGTGTGTAAAACAGTGGTGGTGGTGGTGGAGGGGGGTCCTCTCCCTGACTTGTGTCCTGCCTGGTGTAAGAATGGCCTAAGAGTAGCAGGAGGAGGTGGGAGGGGACCCCCGGGACAGACAGACCACCTTTCTTCTAAAGCAGAAGCACATGAAGATGGGAATTATTTAATCAATACCTCAGCACCAGAAAGGGTTGGATCAAGTGACCTCAAGACTGTTTTCCAGAGGTCCAGTGTGCTACCATCCTCTCTTGCAGCTAATCCATGGGCTCTCTTCAGTGCCTCTAATCTATCCCGTTTTATCTGCAGGCTCCCTACATGCGACCCAAGGAGAGACTCACATGTCCGTTCTGGACTTTCCCACCCTGGCACTGAACTCAGAGTCTCCTTCACGCCGCCTACCTGCCCAACTCTTCTGCAGCTCAAAGTGGCAGGCCGTGGAAAATCTCTGTAACCCACATGGGTGACCCAACCAGGCTTCCCTCCTCTGAGCACCCCCACCCCCGGGTCCCCACTGCCTAGAGCTCTTGGAAAGTTATTTACAGTTGGGGCTTATCTCTCCCAGCCCAGGGGCAGCTCCTTCAGAAAGGGGCTGCTTCCCCCCCTCACCCCACTCCCTCCACACTGCCTCCAGCAGCCACCACAGGAGGAGCAGGCACTTTGTGGGGAAACCAGGGCGGGGGATTTCCCCCAGCAACCATTTATCCCTACTGGACACCCTGCACGTGTGCTCACAGCCTCTGGCAGTTCAGGAGCTCTCTAGGGAGCTTCCTATCTGATCCCAGCGAGCTAGTACTAATTATCCTTCTGGCAGACCCACTACACGGAGGCCCCGGGAGGTAGTCCTAGAGTGACACTTCCCCCAAGGTCGCCCAGGTGGAGGGGGACAAAACTGTCTTTGCAGACCGTCAGGAGGCTGACAGGCCAGGATCCTGAGCTGCCCCATGTGTCCTGCACTGAGCAGACCCTCTGGGTTGTGCCCCTTGGAGAGAACGTTTCCGAAGTCCCTCTCTGGCCTTTGGATGAGAAAATCCCCTCACCCACTTCGCAAGCTTGCGGAGGGTAAGAACAACATTTCACAGAGGGGGTGGCCGAGGCTTTAAGAAGGCGACTGGTCCCCGACGCCCAAGCCAACTTGGCCTCGCTGATTTTGGTGCTCTCACTCAACTTCTCCAGCCGCTCGCCCCGTGGCCCCATGGAGTGAAAGCGGGGTCCTACTTACAGCCACTTGATGCCATAGCACACGCCGGTGTGGAGCGCCAGGGCGAAGAGCAGAGCCTCGCAGACCTGCGGCCGCGCCCTCATCGTCGCGCGCGCCCGGCGCTCCCGGGGGTCGCACCCTGCAGGAGCCGCGCCGATGTCCGCCGCCTGCAGGCCACCGCCGCCGGTCCTGCGCGCACGCCGCCTGCAGTCGGGAAGAGCGGGGCGGCGGGTTAAGGCGGTGCGCGGGCTGGGAGGCGTTTTATTCAAATTACAAAGGAGGGGTCGGGCCCGGGAGGCCGAGCGAGGCAGGCGTCCGCTCCCGCCCCGTACCGCCCGAGACCCGCCGGCGTCAGGCTCGGATTAGGTGAGGACGGAGCACGGCCGAGGGCGTGTCGCCCAGGCGATCAGGGCTGTACCTCCCAGCAAGGACCGGGTGCTGCAGAACGGAGGTGCTAGAGGAGACCCAGAAGAGAGCCTGGAGAGGACCGCAAGCCGCGGGTAGCGAACTGAGACATCCACCCGAGAGGCGCACGGACAAACCAAGGAAACGACCGCAGGGAGAGGAACGAGGGCCCTGGGCCGAGGCAGCTGGTCCGGGAAGGGATTTGGGCTCCAATTAGAATCCACGATATTGATTACTAGTTATTGCAGCCTTGGTGATTCTGTGGTTCATCCCGAGTTTCTCTTTTACAGAGAAGTTTCCGTGTGGCCGCCTTTGCTCCTCCCAGCCCTGTGATAGGTATTGTCACCCCCTCCATCTCAGACAAGGAAACTGGAGCCCAGAGATGGGAAACCGGCTTAGTGAGAGCCTGGTTGGTGCTGGGCTGTTTAGCTATCTCGTCTAACCTGTGCCTCGCACAGAAAGAAAACATAAGACTTGCCTCCTCTGGGCACCTACTTTTCAGTATGGGAAAGGGAAATTAGAAAAATGCAATGGTGGTGGATGCTCTTTACACACTGAGGGTTCTGAAGTGCCACTTCAGACATCCCACTTCTGTGCTATGGTCCGGACTAGGCACCGCCAGAGCTCCTTAGCGGAGCGTGGAAGCTCCAGGCCTGCAAGAGATTGCTTCGGGCCGCCAGGCGGCGAGCTAGGGCCGCGGAGGAGCCGCTACCCCGCCCGCTTGCAGCCTGCGGAGCTGCTTTCTGAGGCTTGCCCACTCATCATTCTCACCTCATTAACTCCCTTCCCGGCTTCTCCCAAATTTACCAACACCTGGCGTTCACCCCGAATATACACAGCCCCCCTCTCCTCTGGAGAAGCAAAGACAAAGGGATTCCTTCCTGAGGGGTCTACAGAGTCTGAAGAAGGAGGTGCCAGACTTGGGGGAGGTGCTGGTGGGGAGGTCGCTGGAACAGGGAAAAACGGTTCTCTTCTGGCTCTGGGAGCTTGGGCAAGCCCTCAACCACCCCAGCCTTAGTTTTTCCTTTTATAAAAACAAAGGACTGGACTCTAGCGTTCTGATCTCCGTCTGATCTCTCTGTATCCACTATTACCTGTGTAGCCTGTGCATGTGTGTGTGCTCTGTACATGCGCGCGCGCGCGCACACACACACACACACACACACACACACACACACACACACACACACAGGGATTTGAGACGTCATAGTTTTCTGGGGCCTTCTGGCAGAATCAAGAGGAATCCAAGTAGAAAACCTTGAATTACTCCCCCCACCTCCTCCACAGAATCCCCCAGGTCCGAAGTGCTTGGCACAAGCGAGTCCAGGCTGGGGTCTCAGCGGGATTTTTGGTGTAGTCCGACTCCTCCTCCCATCTCTTCTATATCCACATCTTTCCCTCGCTATTGGAAGTTTACACACTTCCCCAAACCTGAAAAGTATCTGCCGGATCGCGGCGGAGGGGAGCTCTCAAAACCCCAGTCATTGTCTCTTTGTTCATTCCTTAACTGTGGGATCGCACAAGGCGCCCAGAACTCCTGAGTGGGAAGGGAAGGGCAAGGGCTGGTCGCCAAAGGAAGCTCAAGGACTTCCAGCGTGGTATCAGTGTCCAGCTCAACTCTCCTAGTGAGGAGGGGTGGCCCAGATCGCACAGCAGACAGGGACCCAGGCCTCCAGCTGCTCTCTGCTCTTCCCAGCAGTCCAGCGGCCCTAGACTTCTTCCGCCACTACGGCGCGTTGCTGAGGGAGCACCTTTGGGCCTGGGCCTTTGGGTCCTGACATTATTCTTGTCCTACCTAAGAAGGCCCAGGACAGCAACGCGAGCCGCTGGGTCACCCTCAGCTTGCGCCCTGAGGGTCAGAGCGCATTCGCCTTGGGGAGTCCCCGACCCGCCAGGGGGCGCTAAGCCTGGGTTCGAAGAAAGCTCTGCCCCGGCCTCACACAGTGGGACTTCGGGCAAGTCCCCTCCTTTTCCTGGGCTCTAATGTTCCCGTCTTGGATGAAGTGCAGAGTGACTTCCCTCTTGGCCCTGGTTATCTCATAAGACTTGTTTTGGTTAGCCCTGAACTAACTACGCAACCTCTTGCTTAAGCCTGGCCTCCCAGCCTGCGTTGGAGACAGTCTCGCAGTGGGCCGGCGGAAAAGAGCAGTGCTTATAGATAGATAAAGGAGGGCAACCCTTTCTTCTTCTCCTTGGACAATAAGTCCAAGCTACCCGCTTGCAAGCAGTCGGAGGAACGAGCCTCTTGGGGTTGTGCAAACGCTGGACACCACGGGCACTGTAGTCCAGCCCCTGGCCACCAACAGGTGGTCTTAAGGCTTGGAGCTGTCGAGAGTTCTAAGTTTCACCTTAAGGTAGCCTCCCCGCTCAGCCTAACCGGCAAGGATTTGCCAAACATCTCCCAACCGCGATGTGCCTTGCTGGCCCAGGATTTGTTGTTGCGCTCGGTCGGAGACAATATCCGCCCCAGTATAATGTTCAAGCGGGCCGCTCCAGGAGCCTAGCCGCGAAGCTCTCACAACGGAAAGGTTGCGACAGGGACGCCGAGCGACAGCTTCAAGGTTACCTGCGAGGCTGCGTGAGACCTGGCTTTAAGCTCAGCGGAGACTCTTTCAGGACCTTCTATGTTGCGCCAGATCACCGCAGAGACGCAGTGTTTGGAAAGTGGAAAGGAAGAGTGCGGAACTCCTGCCACCCCCTGGAGCCGGATCCTGCGTTCCCAAAGACCGTGAGGGACATGGAGGCACCGCCACGGGCGGAAGATACGCGGCTAGTGGAACTCTGCCAGATGTTCGGAGCGTCTCCAGATGTGACGCGGGGCAGGGGACAGGACTCTCTCCCTACCCCCTAACCTGGAGCTCAGGTCAGTAAACAAATTCACCCCCCCCCCTTCCCAGTTGTCTCTAGGCGCCCTTCTCACCACCCGGAGCTCCCCACCTCCGGCTCTGGTAGGAGCTTCGGACTTCTCGGCCTTTTGTCCCCCTCTCCCGCCTCCTCACACACACCCTCTGTCGCGGTATCCAAATCTCCCACCCCCGGGATGGCTCGGGCGTGACCTCATCAACCCGCAGACTGCGAGGGAGGGGACCTAGTCCAGGGACGGGGGGGACAAATCGAAAGAGCTGGGGGAGAACCGAAGGAACCGTGCAACCCACCCCATCCGGCAACCCCCTAGTCCCCTGGTCCCCAGGTCATTCCGGCTGCTGTGCTCTGCCAAGGGGAGTTACTCGGAATGCTGCACAGGAGAGAGGTGAGAAAAAGAAGAGGAGTGGGTGCCCACTAGGGAGGTCACTTGGGCTCAGTCGCCTCCCTCCCCACCCCAGCGGGTCCCTGATGAACATCTGCCCACAGCCACTGCTCACCTTCGGAGTACTCTCCTGGCGCTCCCTGCGTACCCCGCAGCCTCGGCCACCCTTGGAAACTGGGAGTGCGGTCCCCGCCTGTAGGAGCGACCAGGACAGCCTCTCCCAGACGCGGCACAGCGGGGCGCAGGGGATCCTGGCACTCGGGGCGCGGACACTGGCTGCTCTCGGCTGTGCTCGGCTCTCTGGCCTGCGCTGGCGGATCTACGGAGCTCTCCCTTCTCCCGGCACGATCTGCGGCGCCCGGCGGCCCAAGCGCTTTATAAGGCGCGGAGCGCCGCTTTGATCCGCCTACGTCAGCGCGCCGAATCCCCACCCGGTGGCTCGCACGGGGCGGGGGCGGGGTCCCCATGACGCCTCGGACCCGCGGCGCCCGTCCGGCGCTCCGGGACACTTCGCACCCTATTGCAGTACGGAAGGGAACTTGCTGGCCACAGCCAGTGTTGAAAGCGTGCCTGCTGCGTGCCAGCAGCGCGCCGGGCGCACGGAAGGCCCACCTCGAGAGCTTGTAATAATCAGCAAAAGAGCCTGAACCAGCCAGAGGGTCTGTCTTGGGTCACAGAGCGGAGCCCGGTGTCACAAAGTGCTCTTGTAGCTTACTTGCTGCAGGTGTTGGGGGTTCTGAGCCCTGAGTTTCTGTCTTAGTCCTGATCCTGGAAGGTTCCTGGGGCCATCTTGCTAGGCATCTCAGAGGGGCGCTCGCTTCTAGGAGGTGCTAGGGCTCTCTATGTGAAGGGCATTGTAAACTGGCTCCAAGTCGACTGTCTGTCTTAGACTCTGGCTTGATTGTAGGGGAGTCTTGTGGGCGACTCCACCCAGCGGTCTGTAGGGTATGGGTCCCAGCAGAGGACCAGCTTTCAGAAACTAAGTGGCACTGGAGAGGACTTGCCCTGAGATGTAACCCTGTCTTAAATTGAGCTGCTCACCCCCTCACCACCCCCGCCGCCGCCGCCGCCCCATTTGGTCTTCCTCAACTAGACCTGAGGCCAGCCCTGTTTTCCCCAGTTTCACTCTATCGGTTGGGTGCTGTGGTTCCACCAGCTTCTGTATCCCTCGTTCTAGGGATTTCAACATCAGAACGTGCTCAAGGATTAGCTAGCTTGTTAGTAGAAAGGGAAATGGAGGCAAGGAGAAGGAGTTTGCCTAGGGTCTCCTAAGCTGTCTGCTAGACTTTTCCTAATGTTTGCAGCTGCAGATGAAGTGTTGTTCACAGGTTTCCCAAGGTAACACACACACACACACACACACACACACACAGGTTGGGGTGTGTGCCCACAATCCACAATGGCCCTGAAGCCTCCTAGGCATACTAGCCCTCTTGCACATTGGACTGGGACAATGGTTACAAATACACTACCAGGAGATACTTGTACATATCGCATGCCCATATCCTCAGTAGCACATAGGTGTGGAGTAGTCACATATATGTCATTAGATTGATACTCAACACACAGACTGCCCTCCAACAGTTCATGCACGAACATACAAGTTTCCACACACAGTAAGAACACATATAGTTCCCAAGCATGCAGCACCAAACACACACGTACTACACACACACACACACACACACACACACACACACACACACACACACAAGAATAGTCTGTGAACACAAGAACACAACGTTGGGGCATCCCTGTTAACCAGCTCAGGGCACTAAGTCAGTCTGTTATAAAGACAGTGAGATGGCAGTGGGGGCTTTGGGTGGGGTGCTCAGGAGCTGGGAGAGGAGTAAAACTGTTCCTCTTAGAAGGTTGGAGACAAAGGTCTCCAAGGGCTCAAGTGCCCTGGGCCCCCTGCCACCAGAGACATCCCAGAGACATCCCAGGTGGTCTCTGCTTTGAGAAGCAAGTCCACAGTCCCCAAACATTCACATGAATAGTACTTCTGCCTGAGATCTTGGGGCTTCCAGTTGAAATAGAAATGGAGAGCAATTAGGAATCACAGTATAGATCTGGGGTTCCAGTCCAGCACTGGCGATCACCCCTGTAACCAGGACACCTGTGGATCACCCAGAATTTGAGGCTCAGCTGGGCCACAGAGAGGATATCTGTTGCAAAAACGAAGAACAACAAAACAGATTGGGGTTCTAGTGGAGTTTCCCTGGCTCTGTTCTCAGCTGGGTGGTGGTGAGTGGCTTCCCTGCATTGAGTTGTCTTGCCCATAAGACAGAAATAATACAACCCCACAAAATCATCTACACTCCCATCAGGATTAACATCCCAGACTTGAAAGCCAAGGCTCAAAGGGAAGTTGAAGAAAGCCTTGAGCTAATCCTCAGACCCAGATATCCCCTGCCCAGTATGGAAGTGCCTGCAGGAGTTAGCAGGTGGAAGCTGGAGAGTGAGTTCCCTCGACTCTTGGGGACTGAAGCAGGCCAGGAGCCAATTCTAGGACTCCTGTGACCTAGCTGTGGCCCCCAACTGCTCATCTCTCCCTGGTGGGTGAAGAACAGGGCACAGCTCAGGCGGGACAGTTTGATCTAGGAGGGATGGAGAAGTGATAAGGAAGAGACGCCAAAAGCTTGCATTGAGAGTCAGGAAGATCTGGACCAGGCTGCCCTCCCTGCACACCAGTCTCCTGTCGCTGCAATAAGGAGTCTTTTAGAAGGGACTCCTTGGGTGCTTGGGAGAAGGTTGTTTATTATCTTGAGGGCCCTTTTCATCCCCCTTCTCTGTCTAGCTCTCCTCAAGGGTCACTCTATGCAAGGCCTGTGCTGGACACCTAGGTCTCAGGCTCTAATTCAGTGTGGACAAGACCACTGGCAAGGCAGAGCAGGACAGGGCATCTCACTCTTGCTGCTGGGAGCATGTATGCTGTCCTTCTCAGTCACCAAGGTGATCCTGGTTATTTGATCTGTCAAGTCAGTATTTCAGAGTGCTTCCTGCTGGTCACACCTTTCCAGCCCCACCCTGCATGTGCCTTACCCAGAGAAGTACCAGCTATGGTTATGTCGGCCATGCTGACCCCATCCCCGACCACCACCACCACTGACCCCCTCTACTCACTTCGGCTTCCTTCCCTGGAGGTTAAAGTCTTGGTGGAGATGGTGGGGGCCAGATGGCTGTTTCTAGGAACCCCCAGGTAGGGGCCAGGAGAGCTGGCTTCAGTGCTGAACTCAATACTGGTTTGCTCTGTGATGGGCAGTTTGCTCTCTCTGAGCCCCATCTGGAGGGAGGGAAGAGAAGAGGAAAGGGAGGAACGGAGAGAAAGAAAGCTCACAGTTTCTCTCTCTCTCTCTCTCTCTCTCTCTCTCTCTCTCTCTCTCTCTCCCTCCCTCCCTCCTGACCTCAGGGACTCCTGATCTTAACCTGGATGAAACTGACAGAAACCCTTCCCCTCAAAGGTGAGCTTTGGGAAAGGCCTCCTGCCCTCGGTTTAGCATGCCTGGAGGCCAAACCCTAGGCAAAGGGACTCACACTAAGTAGCCAATGTGTCACCAAAGTCCCCAGGCCTGGTGCTCACACTCTGCTTACCCACCGTGGGACTCTGAGGAAGTGGTTCAGCCACCAAGTTCCTTACCTTCATCATTTGCACAACAGGAAAAAACAGAACCAGCTCCCTCTAAAGCTTCTGGAAGATACTGGAACAGAAAGTGCATGTGTATGCCTATACATGTGTGTGACCCACGGCACACATGTTTCAGACCTGTCTTGTGCCCGTCAGTCCCAGAGGCAGTCTCACTCTGCAGGGGAGCCCACCGAGCCCCAGGCTTGCAGAGAGGTTGTGCAAGAGACCTGCAAACCTGCTTCTGCTCACCGTCTGGGAGGGGCCTGCCCTCCTCCTCCTCAGGGCTGCAGGGGAGGTGTTGTTATTCTCTAGCACCCCGGGAGAGGGTGGGGAGAGAGGTCGCTTTCCTGGTGCACATAACAAAACACCACTGGTCATGTCTGCTGAGGTCATGTCACTTCTGAAAGGCTGCTTTCAGCTCTCCCTGTTGAGTGGCCCTGGTGGCTGCTCAGGAAAGGACATTTGTGTTTCTCAGGCCTCTGTCAACTCCAGGAGAGAAACTGAACTCCAACTAGTGCACCTGCAAGGGACTTAGGCCACCAAAGGATCAGCCAGTGACCTGGAGGAAGTGCTGTACCTTCATTCTATTCACTGAACCCACCCAGCTTCAGCCTGGCCCTTGCTTCTCCCTTTGGGAATTGGCTGTGACAGCCCCAGGTAGAAATTCCAGTCAGAGACCTTTCCTCTCCTGGTTCTATGTGTTAGTCCAAGAGAAGGGGCTGGTTGATGGCTTGGGTCATGTTTCCTTTGAGTGACAGCTGGCTAGTGGATGCTGGGAAAGACCAGAAGAGGTCCAGGAAGCAGAGAGCCCCCAGGCATGTGTCTGGGTGCAGTTTCTTCTTCACTGAGCCTCTACTTCCCTTCTTTGAACGTGAGCCAGTGTCTCAGCCTGGGCTTAACCTAAAGAGGCATGAGGCTAGAAGGTTAAGGACTGAAACCTGCCTCTCCTCCCTGACGTTGGTTTTCTCAGCGATCTGTCACAGCCATGAGAAGGCTAACACACCCTGCCACAGGGGAAGTCTGTCCTTCCACCCTTGATCTGGGCTGGCCCATTATTGTTTGTCCAGTGTGACCAAGGCAAGCTGGAACTCAGGCCTCATGTTCTAGAAGCTTCCTTCTCAGCTCCCAGGAACAGGGGTGGGCTCCATGAAATGAACAGGCTAAGGATGAAAACATGGGGCTGAAGGTAGTACAGTGGGTAAGAGAGTTTTCTGCTTATGGATAGGGACATGAGTTCAAATCCTCAGCACCCATGTATAAAAGCCCCGTAGTGTGCTTCTCTAACTCAGCTGTTGGGAACTGAGACAGGAGGATTGCTGAGGTTTGCTGGCTGCCAGCCTAGGTTCAAATGAGAGACCCTGCCTCAAAGGAACAGGGCAGAGTGACATGTGTGGTGGTATTGTATTCCCCAAAATATTGTGTACCTTAATAAACTTATCTGGGGTCAGAGAACAGAAAAGCCACTAAGTACTTAAGATAGGCAGTGATAGCACACGCCTTTAATCCTAGCATTCCAGAGACAGAAATCCCTCTGGATCTCTGTGAGTTCAAGGCCACATTGGAAACAGCCAGGCATGGTGACTCACACCTTTAATCCCAGAAAGCAGCCTTTAATCCCAGGGAGTGATGGTAGAAAGCAGAAAGGTTTATAAAGCGTGAGGACCAGAAACTAGAAGCATTTGGCTGGTTAAGCTTCAGGCTTCTAGCAGCACAGTTCAGCTGAGAGCCATTCGGATATGAGGACACAGAGGCTTCCAGTCTGAGGAAACAAGACCAGCCGGGAAGTTGGCCAGGTGAGGTTAGCTGTGGCTTGTTCTGGTACTCTGACCTTCCAGCATTCACCCCAATAACTGGCCTTGGGTTTGATTTTATTAATAAGACTCTCTAAGATTCATGCTACAGACATGTAGTGGCCTCTGTGTGCACATGCTGTATATATCACACACACACACACACACACACACACACACACACACACACACACACACACAGAGTGAAGCCAAAATATGCAATTATTATGTAATGTTACTTCCCAGTCTCAGCATCTCAGAAGTGGGCCACTCTCATATCTCTAAGGTGGTCAGAAACCTGAGAGTGACATGGGACAGTGGTGCCTTTGTCTCAGCCCCTGCTGTGTGACATCAGAGCCAGACAAGGACTAGTTGCTCCACAGTGCCACATGAAAGAATTAACATCCCTCAGCCAGCCTTGCTCACAAATCCCAGAGGCAGGGTCCCCCACCTTCCACCCTCCAAGACAGTCTCTACTATTGTAGGATGGCTCTGTCTGTAAGAGGACCCTCATCCCTCTAGAGCAAACCCCTGTAAGTGCTGAAGACCTTGGGTCTCTTCCTAGGATCTCCTTTACTATGTGACAACATTGAGGCATCGTAGGAGTTTCTGGCCTTGGCAAAGTAGCACAATTTTAATAATAGGAAGTATTTACATGGACTTGTGCCTCAATCTCCATACAGCAAGTATGTTCACTAGGGCCTAAGCCCAGGCAGGCTCTGCCGGTGTTTTGAGCTTCAGCCACGCCAACTGTCTCTGTACAGATCACCCTTCTGCCTGAGTCTTGGTTCTCACCTGGAAAATGGGAGTGAATTTTACCACCTAGGGTTGTAATGGGGCCTAGACAAGATGATGGATGGAGGATGCTAGGCTGTTACAGCTCCCTGATAAAGGCTGGTTCCTCTTCTGCCAGGTACATAAACCATTCCAGATGGGAAACTTGCAGGCTTATGTGTAGGTGGGAGAGGAACTGTCAGCAGGCTCGTGGGGGAGGGGCACCCATCAGGAAACAGGAGGAACACAGACAAGGTGGGGAAGCATGGTGTCAGGGAAAGGCGAAGTCATAGCTCAAGCTGCCAGTCTGAAGAGGAGTGGGAGGCCTTGCATGCCAGGTTCAGGGGGCTGGGCCAGCAACAGGAGACAGGGAGGTCTCTAGACAGAGGGGCAAGGTCAGGTACAGCTGGCCCCTGGTCTGGGGCAGGCAAGTCTGAGAGTCTTGTACCCGGGGAAGGCACTGGACACCTGGTACAGAGGAGCACACTTG